CTGCAATTCTGCCATCTTTTTCCCTTTGGACAAAAGGAAAAGAAGAAGTGAATGTTCTGTTTGTCTTATTTATGATGCTAAAATGCTACAGTGGTGCGCTAGAATTTGTATGGCTTCACCTACAGATCTGCTATTTCCTGAGGATGCATGTGAGTAACTGTACCTCAGCCTTTCCACATCTGCTAGTTTTTCTTACCCACAGACTTTGGCCTGTCACTGGTGTAAACCCAGGGGGAGACGGTCTCTGCAGGCTCAGTGGTGCAAGATTTTCCTTTTGGCGACTGTCCCTCACTTGACTCATAGAAACCTATGACAAAGTGCAATTAGAGAGTCAGAAAAGATGTCTATCTCATTTAATACAGCTCACTGATTGTTCCAGTTCTCTGAAAATATGCCTCTTGATGCAAGAGGTCTTTCAGCGCATTTCACAAATGGGACACAAAAGAAAATTACAAGCAACTAGAGCATGAACTAACAGTAGGAACAGAAATAAATTACAAATTCATTGCATGTATATTTTGAAATGCAAACAGAAAACATGAATTTTATTAGTAAGAGCAACAATTGTATACAAAAAAATGTGCTTTACTGGATTCACTGAAATGGTGTGTTTGTTTCTAGAAAAATCTTAATTGCATGTTTGACAGAGCTGTAAAGAAGGAAAGGGTTTGAAACAGTGGAAGTACCAGAGCTCGGCCGACTGTCGCCAGTGTCTCCTTGACCTCCATCACAGCAGCCGTCATCAGCTTCGATCCTCAGCTCTCCCACCTGCTGTTCCAGTGCCTGCATTAGGCCCCATGGGGAACTCTGAAGAGCACTCTGAAAAACAAATACACACACACTCATTCTGTTTTCTTGCTGTCTGTACTTGATTGTGTTGTTAAGAAGTCATTTTTAAGTGGATGGCAAGAGGCAACAATTAGTGATTTCAACAACAAGGAAACAGTCCTTGCAATCAAATTTCTCATTGCCAGAAACGCTACAGGCACAAGGACATCTGTGAATCCTTTGCTACTTGTTTTTACAGCTGCACACCATTTCTGATTTTGTTTGACGCTCAGACACCCATCAATTCCCTGCTGAGAAAGCTCTGACATTTCTGTTTTAGTTAGGAACAAATTGTTTACACATATAATATAGGAGCGTAGCTATCATTTGAATTTGTGCTGTGTTTTCTTCCTCACAACAGGGGTAAGCATGGCCAGAATGGTTCAACACAAAATGTCAAAACAGACAAAGCCACAACTCAGATGTGAGCACTGAGCTGTTCTCAAAAATACAAATGTGGTCATCACAGGTCACCACTCTGCAGCAAAGAAATGCATCCGTGTGCAGCATCCATATCTGTCACTGGGCTCTCATATGCAAGCACGTTTACAGGGGAAGCAGTCAGTTGGAACATGAATAATTCAAGGGTCTGTGAAGAGTGGGAAGGGGATTCTTTCATGTGGGTGGGGTGGCACACACATACTCACAGATGCAGACACATGCTATCCAGATATACAGACAAATCTGCTTGCTCATACGGCTCAGATAGGAACACACAGGTTGACAACAGATAAGACGTAACACTCAGTCTTGTACTTGTATCTTTAACATAAGGGCCATTCACACACACACACACACACACACACCAGTAAGACAGCTAGATTGGACATGCTTGTTCAGCCAGCCTGACAATTTTCTCTGGTCTCATGTTGACACCATCTGACACACACACACTAGCATCTGTAGGCACTCGCATCTAAGCCTGTCTGCATGGGTTAACACACACTCACACACACTCAAACTCACACACACACACGCGTTCACAAAGGGCCTTCAGTTTGTTGGAGGCTCATTAAGAAGCTTCATTACCAGAAGATGGAGCACGTTCTCATACTGAGGTGACACTTTTTATGTTACAGACCTACTGTGATGGAGAGCCTGTCAGACAACTGTCACACTCTCCTGCACCTCCTGAGGACCGTCTTTGTACATCTGTGTGTCTGTACCAATCAAACACTGCCAATATAAATGCACACAGGCCTTATGATATGCAAAACAGCTGCTTGAAAATCATGTAAAAGCAGGTTATCACAGTATGTCGGATGGTCTACCTCCTCGGTCCAGATCGAAATATTGTCACTTAAATTTAACGGTTTGCTGTGGAATTTTTAACAGACATGTTGAGGACAAAGTCTACTGACATACTGTATGTGATCTGCCTGACCTTTCCTCTTGCCCCAAGATGAGGTTGATATTTTTGGCTTTTAGCGTCATGTCTCGACAAAATGGTATTTGGCATGAAGCACTATAAAATTTAGTACAGATATTCATGTTCCCCCATATTCATCTTGTCAAAATATTATTTTTTCAGATGCTTTTCTTAATGACAAAGCACCGGGACGGTAACACAATAAAATGAGACGATCAAATCTTACAGCTAAACATCATTATTCTCATCACAGCTAGTGCTTTATCGTCTCAAAACAATTAAAAGAAAAAATGCCGATGTATTTGACATCGCTCACTGCTGCTTGTATATTCACTCCAATCAGTGCTCGAGCTCTGACTCCTTTGTCCTGCAGACTAAATGCGGTCATAATGCAAACGCTGCGAGCGATGCTGCCCACGCGACCTCTTCACCCCAAACACTGCCATTTGTTTTGTCTCGACAAGCGTGCTTATTGTCTTACCGTAAACAAAGCATTAGCATCCCTGCATCAATATTGTTGTGTATGGTAGAAATGAAGAGTGGGGAGCTTTGTTTTAGCTGCTGGCGTAGGATAGAGAGCTGCCTGGGAGGAGGGGGAAGCCAATAGGAAATCAATTAATCAATGATACCATTTCTCACATGTGATTGCTTGCCACTGCTTTGTGGACACGCTCACAGCGAAAGCCACGGTTCTGGTTATTAAATTATAACCCTGTAGAAAACAAACAAACTGCCGGGTTGAGACAGTGGCAGGGTTCATTTTACAGGCTGGTCTTTGACTGCACTACATTATTACTGGTCTCACACTGGTTCCCTGACACTGTATCATTGCTGTTTTACTGCATCTCATGCCCAAGGCTGGTGGGGGATGGGGGGAACAGAGGACGCCAGACTCACTTAGCCATTAAGCTGCTCCACACTGAAGGTAAAACACATCAGGGCTACCTGAAATACACTGAGCAGCTGGTGAATCCAGGTGAAAGCCAGAACAACATTATGACTGGGTGTTTTACCCTATTAGAGCATTTTTAGACACTTCAGAAAGTGTATAAAGAATGGGAGGCAATAGAGTTTAAAGCAAGCTCTAAATAAGGGCTGGATGTCTTGGCAGTATATAAAGACACATTGTAATTCTGGCACAAAAAAGGTTTTCGACAGGAGCGAAAGAAATTGGCAAGGTATAGCCCTTGGCTGTGTTGAATAGGATTGTAGAATAGACCTGTAACCAGTTAACGGCTGGCTGGGTTTTGAAACAATATTGGCAGGATATAGAAATCTATGGAACAGGGCACACAAGGCATGCAGCCACACTGCTGGACCCTCTATAATTAAAGCTATGTTGTGACTGGATCCACACAGAGCAGCCTGTGGGAGGCCGGAAACACACACACACACACACACACACACACACACACACACACAAGACACCCTGCCCCCCCAGTTTCACTGCTTGACTCAACGACTGAGCTCTTATTTCTTTAAGCACATGGACACATTTCAACTGCTGTATTTTAATAAGTAAATACATTTTGTAGTATTTTTTTTAAATGACTTTGACAGGGGAGGAATTTTGTACACACACAGTGTTTACATTAACATAGTGAATGGCATTCATTAGCACACTCTGAGTCTGTCCTACGTGCACGGTGGCTTGTAGGCTCAGCAGCAGCAGAAACAGCAGCAGCAGCAGCAGTGTGTGTTGGCTGCCAAAGAAATCCCTAAAGAGAGACATGCACCAGGCTGTGTTCATAAGACTGACAGTTGTGGAACGAGTTCAGAGTCCATCTCAAGGTGTGGATTTCATGCTTGCAAATATGCATTGGTCTGTATGCATATGATTTGTATATTTTCAGAAACTTGTTTGCCAAAGAACACAAACACCAAAGCAGAGAAACCATCCTGTGATCCATAAAAGTCACTCCTCAGTGTTCTATACCCTCAATAATGATGCGCTGCTGTCTTCACACAAGGACACAAACACTCAAGCTGATTGATGATGAAACAGGAGTTCAGCAAAGGCACAAAGCAAAGGCAAAAATCTACAGTAGACATACAACGCTGCAGAATGAATGCTTTGTTCGTTCATTCATTTCAGACCTTTTCAGAGGAGAGTAAATGCAACTTAGAGCTTTCTAAAATCCAAACATGGGGCATTTATGTATGTCACACATTCATTCACAATTCATATATTCTCCTCTTCTCTCTAAACACACTCAGCAGGGTAGCAGAGATGGAGGTCAGAGCTCCTTGCTTTCCCAGCTGCTGTCTGGCGTCCCACAGCTGTCAACACCTTCAACAGCACCACAACACACTGTATCCAGGAGAAAAAGGCCTCTCAGCCTGTCTGGGGGCCACATTCATGTTCAAGGCAGCTACACGCAGGCGTGCACACACAGGAGGTCTCATGGGGCTGATGTTTCTGTGTCACACTGTGAACTATACATTTTGGAGACTTTAACCTACATGGGAGATGAGATTGGGGATTTGGCTCGGACGCAGATGGTGACCTGATATCATGAAGACTCAATTTGAGACTTCAATTAGAGTCCTGTAGGGCAAAAGGAAAAAAAAAATTCTCAGAGGAATTTCCAGTGTAATTACTCACACGCTTGGATAAGCAGAGCAGTTAATAAACATCGATCCAGTGACACGTTTGAAAATGGAAACGGGAAAATATGCAATCCTGAGGGGGAGAAACGCATGTCACTCCTTCATTGGTCTTAAAAATGGCGGTTTCCCATCAGAGTGTGGATGTGTTAGACAGGGTGAAATGCGCTGACAGCCCCTCCAGCACTACTGGATTATGGATTTTAGGACTGGTGTGTTTGGCACAGTGGAAACCAGCATGCATTGTTGTTCGTGGTTTCAGACATCTTTTCAACATTACCTTGGGAATCATATGTGGATTTCATATGAGGACCCACATCATGCCATACCCAACTGAATCCAATGCACAAGGCCACCTATGTGCGCCTCTATCCTCTCACCAGGGCCTCGATAGGCATCATTAGTATTCTGCTCCATATGCGTCTATTGTTAGGGCCCCGTCGGAGGAGAGGAGAGGAGGGGAGGCAGGGAGGAAGGAGGTGTGAAGAGGAGGCGGCTGATTTAATTTCTTTTTCACCCTCTTTAATAATGGCTTCCTATTGTGGCCATGTGAAACAGCTTGCGGGCTGCGCAAGAGCAGCGGCCAAACAGAAACACAACTTCCACACGCACCACACACAAAAACTTAAGCAACATAAAGAGAAAATAAAAATACAGACAACATCGTCATCTGCAGATTAAGTGGTTGCTCAGTGGTGCGTAAAACATCCTGAGGTGTAGTCGTAATGTTGAAACTTTTATTTGTGTCCATGAATCTACTTTTTAAATCTTCTCCTAATCCTGGCATCACTGATCTCCTCATAAAAAGGCGTCTCATGTATTTATATACGATAATCGTGATATAAAAACGTTAGCAGCGACAGCAACATAAAAGCTGAAGGAATAATTCATTCTTTTATGATGTGTGGAAAGCACAAATAAGAGCTTGTTAAGTAGTAAAATCTACAAAAGTCTATGACGAGGGAACAATGGGCCATTAAATAGTCGGTCTGTGCCACAAACGGCGGGTGCTCCACCCCCTGATTTCGTTGCCCACAGGCATAAATCTCAGCCCAGAGCACAGAGACGCATTACACCCTTTCAAACAGAGGCCCTATTTATCAAGTTGAGTAACTTTTTTTGCAGCTAGAGGTCACGTCAACACAAAAGGCGCAGCGCGAACCAGGAGTCCATCCAACGGTCAAGCGGACCACAAAGAGGATCCGCTGCAGGCTATTAGATATTCAAAAGTATGTAGGACTGTGGTACAGGACAGAGGTAGAGTGGAGGTTTAAACACAGGGTGGGGTGACTGAAGGCAGAGCAGCTGGAATCCAAACATGCAGTAAAACGCTCAACATAAACTTCTTACCAGCTGTCGCCTCAGCGTTAAGTTTTCCTGTCCCCAGCTGCTGAAACACGCCAGCTCTCCTCTGGAGCTGTCCTGCTCCAGGGGGTCTCCCAGAGCCAGCGCTCCCAGCACCAGGCACTCCTGCCTCTGCCTGCGGAGCTCCAGCTCGCACAGCCCCGCCAGACTCGCCTCCAGGCGCTCCTTGGTCCGACTGCGCTCCACAGTCACTGGAAACGAGAACGCACGGTGCATGCCCTCTAAAATTCCGGGATCATGTGCAATAAAAGCTAATTATTTCCCTCAGATTGTATTTTTACGTCCTCCAAGTGGCCCAAAATTTACGAGGGCATTCGCAGACTATAAAAGGCCATGCTGCGTCCCATTCCTTGCGATAGCACGGTTGCCTTGGAGCGGCATGGTCTCCCTGACCATCTATGCGCTATACATTTTCTGTTTCGCAGCTGTCAAACGCAGCCACGGAGCTCCGCCCTCTGCGACCGACCACGGCGAGAAAGTGGGGAGTCATCCTCCCCTTTATAAATCCAATCCCAGCCTTCATTGGACATGAGAGGCTGGTGGGTGCTGCGCGTAACGTTGTCCCTTCCCCCTTGATTCATTACAGTGACGCGTCGACCTCACCCATCTTGCCATCCAGGCCCTGGGACTAATGGACTAGTTCTGGGGACGGTTATTTCTGGCAGTATAGTTAAACACTGGGGTTCTATTATACAGGAACGATTTAAAGGCACCAGAGCGAAGAATAAATAGTAACAAGAGAAAGATAGCGGAGAAAAAAGCTGTAAAAAAAGCAGAGCACTTGGGCAGGACGCAAAAACCTGACATCATTGTGAAAATACAGATGCTGCAATTGCAAGATACTAAGAAGAACAGCATTTGATATGAACTCCCAGCATCACTGAATGAAATAATACAAGATGTGACAGAACAGGGATGATAGATATAGTTCGTCTCAAACGGTTACCAACAGGCCACCCAGCCTTTATAAAGCTCTCGTTTGTTTAATATAGAAAATTATAACTCATTCGCTGTTAAACCAGTTTTTCTCCTTCTCCATCTCACTCCTAGCTGCCTGCTGTGCTGCATGCCTTCAGGGTGCTGAGGAATGTTGAGCACATTCATGTTCCCTTATTAACACGACAAAAAAAATGTGTATAAATGTCTTCTGAAGTGCAAATGCTCTCTGTGTTTGTTTAGTAACTGCAAGAAATTTACATGACTAATAGTGGAGAATTAGAATCACTGGAGCGCAAGTTTGGTATAGGTCAAATTTAGGACAAAGCACAGTCTAAGTGTAGTACTTTCTACATTAGATAAGAGAGGGCAAGCTTCAGTAAATCCTGACGGAAATTACTTTTCCAGATATTGTGAAGAAAACTAAATTATACATGAGGAATGCAATGCCTTGTATGAAAGCAACAAGATGGAATAGGATAACATTATATATCAGAAAATGGAGAAAATGCAATACTGATAACAGCTCTTTTAAATATGCTAATCTTTGCATTTCACATTTCAAGCGTTTGTTCAAATTTTGGTGACCCTGATGTAGTTTTTTTTTTTTTGTATGTACACATCTATTGTTTCAGGGTTTGTCTCATCCTTTGCACCCTCTACTGCACAAACTGGCAAAGCAGCTTTCACCTGCATTCAGTGTCTGTGTTTACACAGCACAGCTACAGTGGTAATTAATAGGTCATTTATGCAACAGTAATTACAATGGGACAAAAGGGAGCCATAGGAGATCTGTGGGCCAACTGCTCTGAATGCAGAAGGTTATGAGAAGCTTGCAGCTCCCAAAATAACAATGCTTTCAATACATAGCATTAATATTTTAAAGTTTTTTGATTTCATTTTATTTTTGAAAGTGCAGTTACAGATGAATATTTTATCTCGGTGCCTCATGCATTCTTTCCTCTATACTACTCTCTCTGTAAAGTCTCCTGAGGTCACACACATTGCGTCTTGAAAGGTAACAACTGCACTTCCTGATAGGAAAATCTTTTGGATTCAACTACAAATTCAATTAAGTATAATTTTCTTTAACTTAAATCTGCTATTCCAGCTGATCATTTCTGAAATAAACCACTCCAAACACAGCAACACCATCTGTTTAGCAGTTTTTTTTAATTCATACTTCCAATCTCTACTTCACATGAACCAGAAAGCCACTTTTTATCTTCAGTCTCTATGAGGCAAAGTCATCGGCAAGTCAAAACCTACGCGCAGCGCAGGCTGGGTTCTTTTGTCAGTGTGTGTGTGTGTGCACACTGCAGATATACACAACATATACTTACAGTATATTTATCTCATGTATAAATTTCACTAAAAGTCTAGAGATCAAAACATTTTCTAAAAAAAAAAAAAAAAAAAAAGAAAAACATACAGTAGAATTATTTTTGAACAGAACTACAGCAGTACATATTTTTATCAAGACACACTTGAAGAAGAGCATTTGCTATGAGTTTGATCAGTGGTTGTTTTCAGGAGGTCGTGTGTGATTCCTATCGTGCGTAAACCAAGGCTGGTACTTAGTAGTGTGTTGCATGGGGAGGGGGGCACTGCTCTGTGACAGCGCAGCAAATGCCAATGGATACAGTCAACAAAGCACACAACCCATCAGCTGTCAGTTACAAAAAAATGGTGGCATCCTAAACTCTCTGGGGGCCTTGGTTCCACAGCTGTGCAGCGATAGCAATCATACAATCATTCATGTGACACAGATGAACTGTGCGAGTGCATGCTAGAAAAGAAAGACTGGAAACAAACTAACAAAAAGCAAAAAAACAAAAAACAAAAAAACAAAGAGGTGTTAGGTTCGTTTAATTTAAACACGTTGGCCAGAATGAGAAACATGAACTGAAGCTAACAACAAACCCAATTTGCATAATTGTGGAGTTTTGTGGAAATAAATTCAGGTGTGCTACAACAGTTATTTTTAAAGCATCTAATTTGGACAATGGAGTGTGTTTTACAGATGGAGCCAATACAAACTGTTTTCCTCAGTCTTGACAGTGAAAAGAATAAAATCAGTGCCAGTAAAACCGCCTCGATCAAGCATTTACCACATTTCCTTCAAAACACTTGGAGAAGGTTTTTGTCATTTTTGGACAAAAAAGAAAAAAAAATCCACTTAAAACAAACTGTTAAAGCATTTCAGTCCCATTTTCATATACACGACATTCCTGCATCGTCATATATATGAAGCCTAACTTCAGAAAACACTACTACCCACTCACATTCATGTCTTAAGGTTTCCGTGCGTTATCGTTACTCAGTGCCTTCTTCAAAAGTAATATATGTGCACACACACAGCAGGGATCCAGTCTGGAAGCTTTTTTTACTGTTTACAATATGTCAGCAACACGCCATGCAGGCACACAGTAAAGATACCTTTTCCCTCATAAAAATCACTCGTTCCTGCCTCGCCAACAAAACAGACAAGAGAGCGTGTCAGTCTTAGTTCAGAGCTGCTTTGTTTAGGATGTGTTTTGGAAGATTTCGTAAACACCTCAATTATATTTGGGCAAAAGTAACACGATTTTGGAGCAGTTACCAGATTGAACTGAGAAAAATCAACATTGTGGCTGATAAATTATAAAATATACATAAATTAAAACAACTATTTCCTCAGCCTTGCATTCACCTCCAAACTAAATGGCTGCAACTTTTCTTTCTTTCATTCGTTACCTCAAAAGGGTTTAAAGTGCTTCACTTTCTCTTTTTTTATTACACAAGGAAGTTTTTTCTTGTTTTGGAAGTGCTTCCATTGTTGAAGTCTGTCAGCTGTAAGGGGTCTCAGTTGACAAACTCTTAAGAGATGCTCTTTACTGCACCTAATCCAGTATATATATAATACATGACATACATGATAAATACTTCATTTAAAACAACATGATAGTTTGTGAAGGTACATTTCTACTTCTTTCTTTTGGTTCAATTTAGTTGCGTAAAGTTAATTCTCATGCTTTCATTGCATCCAAGACAGACACTTGAAATGGGGAAAGGGAAATTATAATTTTGGTTGAAGTAGATGTTTCTAAAGAAAGAGATTGATGTTTTGAGATATGAGCTTTTTAACTTTTTTGCTGTGAGTTAGATGAGAGGATTGCTCTCATATTGGCATGGTAAGTGTAAAGCTAAAGCTAAATTCAGAAAGAATGAAAACAGGTTGCTCTCCCAGTTTTTAGTCCTCATGCTAACATAAGCTTACCGGCTGTTGGCCAGGAGATGTGAGCTCAACATAAAAACCAGATACGACAGCTTGTTGGCTGTAGCATCACATTGATAGTCTAAACATGAAAGTGGTATCAATCTTCTCCCCTAACCTTTAGCAAGTAAGCACATTTCTCAAATTGTCAACTGTTCCTTTTTTTTTTTTTTAATAGCAAAGACTGGTCACACCACTAATGTCATGACATGAACAGAAGATTTGCTCACAGAGGGCAGATGAAGGGTTCATCTCCAAAATGTTATATATCCATTTACAAGCAAAAATCATCCTGTTCATTATTCAATTTGATGATCTCTCATCTACTTCCTCCCATGGATTTAATCTACTAAGGATGTGTCAAGTATGTGACATTCATTTAGGCAATCAATAATTCAGTAAAAGCAGAAGCAGTAACTTTGCTTTTCAAATGTTGGATACATCATTTTGGAACAAAACTCTTCGACTGTAAACTGTACCCTGGTGGGACTAATGCAAGGCGGCATCCAAACGCATTAGCATTTTAAAAAAGGCAGTCTGGCTGCAGAAGCCAGAAAAGAAAAAAACCCCATAAGAAACATACATGTGTGGAATGGTAAAAATGTCACACTTTCCAGCACACACGTGTGCTCGCACGCACACATACACACACACACACACACACACACACACACACACACACACACGCACGCACACACGCGAATATAATCGCGCAAATGCAGAATCATACTTGCACACTGGACATGTCACAGACATATCTGGCATGCATTTTTAGAAGAAAACACTTTTTGTTAGAAATTCTTTAACTGGTCTAGAGCTCTGATAATTTCTGTATGTACATAAATTAACAATAAATATAGGTAATGTTTATATATTTTGAAATATATATATATTAAATAATGAAATATTTTTATATATTTCAAATATATTCATAGAATTCTTTCCAATTTGAAACATCTTTAAAGAGATATAATCACAGTTTAGTAATAAAACATGTAAGAATACAGGTCTCCCAATGGGTCTGGCTGCAGCGTCCCCGCTTCGAAGATTAATAAGTTGTGATCAAAGTCCAGCCTTTTTTCCAAACTAATACATTCGGCTTCATCAGAAGGATGAGAAATAATTGCAACGTAAGGTAGCGAACACTGTGGCAGGAGCATGTGATCATGGAAATTGTGTTTAATGTCAAAAAGACGAGGTGAGGTCTTATCAATCTTTAAATTCTACTTTGAAACATTTCAACGTGACGGTCCGACAGGGAACCAGCCCTGACGGGAACCATACAGGCCAGGCTGAAACAAGGCAAGAGGGACTGATCAGTGAAGCTGATCTCCCAGCTACAATGCTTCTTCTGTGGAACCAAACTGTTCTCTGATCACCTGGAGGTTTATTAAAGGGACGCTGCAGCGAGGACCTCTCAGGGGTGATTGGTTGGAACAGTCGAGAGAGTGTAAAAAGCCATTAAGACTCGAAAGGAACCCCCCCCTTCGTTTGACTCAATCTCCTCTTCTTCTGTTCTTCTTTTTTTTTTTTGACACACATAGACTGGAACTGGACCACATTAACACTGACTGAGGGGAGCTAGGTTGTCTAAATGCATGCAGTAGTTTTCCTTCTTTCTCTCTGCCACTCTCCTGGTTGACATGGCTTACAGTAGGATGCACTTGGAAATAAAGAGAGTAGAAGGAAACAGCTATCCCACAGGTGAAGAGAAGGGGCAAGTCTCGCACCTTCCCACAAAGCCTCAGTGATGTTGGGGATACCTCAGTTCCTGTGTGCGATAGGGGCACTTTCTGTCCATGATTTCCTCCTCCGGGGGTTTTTTAAAACTTCTGTGCGCTGGAGATGACTGTTCCTCTCTTTGTAGTCTTTGGACCCGCTCACCGCTGGTCCCACCTCCTCTGTCCTCCCTCTTTCCTGCTGCTGCCTGCAAAGTGGTTCACAAACAAAACAGGTCCTATATTGCACAGCATGCCCTCATGGCCTTATGGTGGTGTGTCAGTGATAGCGACTTCGCTTCTCCTCAGTCTCTGAGCTGTAGTCCCTTAAACCGATTCCTCGCTGGAGGTTCAATAAAGAGTCTTTCATCTAAAGAGGAGAAACAACAAGAAAAACAAAAACGGTCGTTAATTAGAGAGATGAAAATTTACATCTACACCTACATTCATGCACCGAACAAGTAGGAATTACTCATATTTTCCATTTTGTCATTGGGCAGTGGCGGTCATTTACTGGTGCATGCAAAGTGGAAAGTTATTCATTCACTTTAGTTGTATTTGATCATTGGCTGCCTGTGAAAATGTCACTTTAGGTGAGTCGTTATGGGCTTTGACTGAGAAAGATTAGTGGAATTTGGCTCATGGAATCAAAATCCTGTCATGCTGTATTTACAGGTTTTTATTGGCTGTATTAAAACAGAGAATCCCGTAAACACATGGCCAATATCTTAAAAAACCAAGTCCCAGGAATATATACTACATCCTTTTCAACACTTTGGCATAGTATGAGACTCCTCCCTTGGGTGCCTGAATGAAACACCACAAGCAGTGAAGGAACCAGTTTTTAGATTACTTTTTGTGATCCTCAGCATAAATGTAGACAATGTTACATTACAGTGAGATATTTCACGTGCAGTCACATTGAACTTGTTTGCAGAAAGACATACGTATGAACTGGCACACATTTGTTATTGCGGTCTGGCATTAGCTTCTTTCTATATGCACTTTTTTTGCAAACAAATTCATACTGAGGTTCACATTGCGAAAAATCCACAAGGAGCTGGCCTTTTTCGGTTTGATTCCTTGTTGAAACGTCTTCACAGGGTTTGAACTTGTATAGTTTTTGACTTGCCGTATATGCAGCAGTGTAGGTTTATTGGCTCACGGTAGGGTAGGGGATGTAGTGCATTTTACAGGGCTAAATTGGTCACATACTGTGAAATAATGTAAGGTATTCAACAAGCTGGCTAGTCACTGAGATAAAAATAACTTTGTGTTTTATGGTGTTCTTGTTCAGAGCAAACTGACAGTATTTACATTATCCTCTTTTCCAGAAAATGAAGGCCAGCACATGCAGGCCTCTTGTCAATCATTCCTTCACCCAACACAACTTAGCACAGAGTCAGGGGGCTGTTTAACAGCTTCAGTGGTATCTGGCTGAACTTACTGTAGTTACAAACTGCAGCTTTGCTTACCAACCCAACAGATATTCAAGTGCAGGCAAATTCTCTGAATGCTGTTCATCACAGTGTTAAGTCGATGTTCTCTTTGTGTCCAAGTACCTGGTCTAGCAGCACTACTGACGACTTGATAATCTCCCTCCACTTCTGCAGCTCGGCGTCATGGTAACGCTGCTGCGCCTCCAGGAGCTGGGCCCACTCCATCTGCGTCTGAGGCAGTTTGCTGGGAAACACACATACACATACATTAGCTACATCAGGGTGCAGCCACTGAAGCATGATTTCCATTCTGAGGGACTGCCAACAAACAGTTTGGTAAATTGTTTCAGTAAGCCCAGAGCTCTTCAGGGGTAATTTTAGAAGCTCAGTGTTTTCCTGTCACACATGTCAAGGGCCATATGGATATAGTTTAGTGTGTATGTGCATGTGTATGTCTGTTGCACCAAATAACTACAGCAGACCTCCATCCAGTCTGCACTGATTAAGATTTTGTATCCTCAAATGCCTCTGAAGTCCATTAACCACGTTGAATCTCTATGATAAAGGAGTCCTGTATAAATAATCTGTGACAAAAATGTGTAGAATGTGAATCTGTGCTTGTGTACCTTTCATGAAGCCGCAGACCTTGCCAGGTTGTTAAGGACTGCGCAGAGTACTCCAGCATCCACAGCTTATAGAAAAGCATCATGTTGAGGAACACCAGCAGGACCAGGCTGTAGAAATGTAAGAAAGAAAGAAAGAAAGTCATCAAATGATGCGTTTTAGTGCTACATAATGCCATTAATCAGCTGCTATGTGAATGGAAATACACTCAAATAGTATAAATACATGCATCTGGCCCTACTGGCTACTCAAAACATATATACCTGAGACAGATCCTATGGATGGCAATGAAAGAAGAGAAGAAAGGAGTTACACTCAAAGAGAACAACAATGAGATATTTGTAAGGAAAGCAACAACAAAAATAAAGAAGAAAAAAAAAATTCAATTGTAAGTCAGACAAAAGCTCTACGGTCTACTAAAAAAATGGATGAAAATATGCAACATGTGAGTCAGAGAAATTATATCAAGTGACATGACGATGTGCACATACTTGTGGGTCCAATTT